TTCTGCCTAATTTTCTGCCCTTGATATAATACATTTACATTAATAATTGAATAAAGTAAACACCCTTTGCACCCCGGGCCGGCAACATTTTGCATTTGCCCTGTACGATGGGCGCTGTAAGTGATGAAAGTGGGGGACTTATCAGGCACCCGCAGCTCACAGCCAAAGTGCGAGCGAGCCTCCGAGCGAGCGAGAGAGAGAGAGAGAGAGGGCGCGCATCGGTACCGCGGATTGTTGTTAGATTGAGGCTGATAACTACAGCTCAGTGAGGTAAAGGACTCTGAGTGTTTAGATAGTTCACTTTAGTCTAAGTTATCTCAGTGGGTCTCAAACGGTTTGGTCACAATTTATGTAAACACATATTTCCAAGGCACACCTTTATAATTATTAGGATAAATAACAACAGGTTTGAAATCATTCCAATGTATACTATAGGACAGTAACCAAAAATATCGTTTAAAACTGGAGATATTGAAAAAAAATGCATGAATAAATAAATGTTAACTAAGTAAAATAAGATATGAATGAACAACAAAAATAAAATATGTTACATTTATTTGTTATTGTCTATGGTAGGTTATTGGTTATGTTCACATACTTATTTGGTTATTAAAATGTAAACCGATCTTTTTCATATGGGTGTTTTAGAGTTATACCCCCTAGATCTAGTCTCTAGTAATGCTGCTCAAAGTGCACCAGATTGAAGCATTTTAAATGTTAAAAAAATCTTTGCGGGGGGGCATACCCCCAGACCCCCCTAGAGGATGTGACGTCCACCCCCCAATTAAAACATGTTCATACAATAATACATTTGAAACCTTCTTTATGTATATAACCAACATGTCAATACGTATTGGTATTTTGTAGAGATTTTTCATTTATTCTTTATATATTCTTTGTGTATTGCTTGGAGGGGGGGGGGGGCACCAAATCATAATCTCGCCTAGCTAGGGCACCAAAATGTCTAGGTCCGGCCCTGATGCCGACAAATCATTCAATGTCATTTTAGACTGATTTATACTGACGACGGCCATGCAAAGCGATCAGTGTTAATAAAGATACTTAAACGACAATAAAAGAAGAGTCCCAGAAAACAGGCGATGATTTAACAAAAACATTTTATGTTTCGGGACATTCATTTTTAGATGTCATTGTTATTATATCATGTATTCAATATATGATATAATACCCATTCTAGCATGTCCGATCAGAAAATATTGTAAATATTGTAAATAAGTCAGTAAAGTTAATCAGTTGCCAAGTGTTGGAGTTTCTTTGTCTCTCAGAGTGTTTTACAATGGCTTTGTTCATTTAAAAGTGTTTAAAACATGTGTGGACATAGTTTTTAATCTAGCGACAATAATTTAATTTAAATTTGGTTTCACCTGTCATGTGCTGTATACTGTATACTTGACTGCACTTCCTATAGTTAGTGTTTTGTCTCTTTCTGTTTACAACATGTTTGTTCTTTGTTAATTTAAAATTGTTTAAAATTGTGTGTACATAGTTTTTGAGCTAGTGACAAACTTAATATTGCACTTTTATTAATTGTATAATTTAAATTGGATTTGATCTGTGATGTACTGTATATACTTGACTGCACTTCCCATGTTTTGTCATTGCTTTGATCCTTATTTGTTCCGGGCAAGCTCTAAGGGAAGGTTGTTATGGTGAGAAAGATTGCTGCGATGCACTTTTATAATTAAATAAATATTTTCATTTACATTTTAAATTCATGGTGTGTTGTATTCTTTGTTTATAAATGTAGATATTATGGAAAATCATGACATGTTGTGAGCTTGGGTCCCGTAGGACCAGAACATTTCTGTTTTGGGTCTCATGCTGAAAGAGTTTGGGAACCCCTGGTCTATTACATTTACATAAAATGGACATTTGTGTTTGGCACTCGCAAATAACACACATTTCACTCAAAATACACAAAGATAATTGCCTCTCAGAGTCTAAAAGTGAATAAGTGGCAGTCATTACAAAAGTGCTAAGTGGTTTGTTCTTCCACTGGTATGTACTGTAGGCCATTCAAATATCACGTCAGAGCATGAATGATACTCAGTAGTGTTAAAATAAACAAATCGCTTATTATAATCAATATGAAACCATTTCTAAAATAGTCATTCAAAAATCATTCGTCAAAATCACCACCACATCTTCACTAGCCAAAGGTTGTGAAAGATCGATAGCCTAACCAGCAGCAATTGCAGGGTCTAATTGTAAAATATTTGGCCTTGTTGTTTCCCTCTTTGAAGTCTAGGGCCTTCTCTGCTCTTGTCCTCGGGTGCTGCTCGGCCCTGATTTATGGTGACATGTTCCAAGGGAAGCTACTCTAAATTACATGGCCCTTAAACCTGAGCAGAGAGAGCCACAATCGCCACTCCAGAGACAACTAATTGCTAGGAAAAACCTAACCTGCGCTAGATAAGAGGGTTCCACTCTTCCCAGACCTGAGAGAAGGGGAAACGTGTCTAACAGATTTGGATAAATGTGCAATTTGTCATGAATGCCCCTGAGTCAGTGGCGGCGCCAGAGCATTTTTGTTAGGTAATCTATGGTAGGGCTAACCCATACAGTGGTGGTGCGCAAATCAGTATTTGCAATGTAATTACATACACGCTATATCGCCCCCCTTGACAGTGAAACGCCACGCGTGAGGTTTAGATTATTTCCCTGTCTCAATCAAAATGGAACTGTATGAAATAAAACGGCACATTTGTCTTGAAGTAAATAAAAAGGGATCACTGTGAACGTGACGTATGATAGTACACGTTGAAGATCCAATGGGGATACTGAATGGCGGTTTCGATTGATCTCAATCAATAAGGCATGACGCAGATCCAACGTTGCGTTGCTCTGATTGGCTGTAGGTCTATTCAAATTGCATTCGGAGGCATTTTGATCTGACCGCGGCCGCGCTGATATTATAACGCCAGAGAATTTCCACACCTTTAGTGTATAAAACTCCCCCACTACTTAGACTATTCCTTGCACCCCTCTTCTAGCATAAGCCCGAATGGTCTCAACCATATTGCATCAGTAACGTGTAGAGATGGCAAATCCGGATCATTTTACGGACTCAGGGTCTTCTGAGTCAGTCATTGAAGAGATCCGGATCATACGAGTCATTTGAGTCATATGAGTCAGCATCACCAAGACCGTAGAAATCCTATTGGTGAAACCGAAAAGTTGTTGCATTTCACGAGCATATTATTATTCCATATATTTTGAATATACATATATATATTTGTATATATATATATATATATATATATATAATATCTGCATGTATATTTTCTATTTCGACATGTATATTTTATATTTTATTTTATTTTTATTTCTATTCTTGCATATTTTGTAGTTTTGTTTTATTGTAAAATGCCTTATGCTGCTGTAACAACAACAATTTCCCAATTTGGGATCAATAAAGTACTATCTATCTATCTATTAAACTGACGTTATATTAACCTCCGCTACACAGTGTATTTTGCTTTAATAAAAAATGTTGATCACAAAAAAAAGGGTTATTTTGCGATTTGGCAAATCTGAGTCTGCGAGTCCGCACTGCTGTGTGTTGCACACACAGTGAGTCAGGATTTGCGAATCCGAGTCTGCTGTGGACTCGTGCATGACGGACGAGTCTGCTGGATCTCTGGATCTGCTGCTATATGGTTACGGCTCCGAGTCCGCACGAGTCTGATCCGCTGTGTGTTGCAGCGAGTCAGGATTTGCGAATCTGCGAATCTGCGAATCTGCGAGTCTGCTGTTGGAGCCGTCGGCTCCTCTGAGTCCCCACGAGTCTGCAGGAAGTTTCACTGATCCGCGTCCCCTCCCCTGAGCCAAACGATCACTTCTGGCAGGCAGCTATCCTGTATACTTGCTAAAGGGTAGGCAGATGGACTGGGGTACGTTGTAATGTGATTTTACATGTTATAAAGAGAGTAGCGAGTGACGCACTTTATAGTTTTAATTTGTACGTCACACCAAGTGTGGGACTCAAGGACTCGGGTTAATGGAGAGGGGAGACTCGTCATGACCAGCTCATTTCTAGGATCCGGGTTAATGATCCGGATGAATCAGGACTCGCCCATCTCTAGTAACGTGCACTTGTTGTTACAGCAGGATCAGTTTGTGTGCTGTGGACACGACCCGTATATTTTCGCAATCCGTGTTCTCAACATTTAGCATTTTGCTTATTATTTAATTGAATTTGCATTACTTTTCATGGTGGGGCTAAGGTGGGGCTAAGCCATTTCTTGGTATGGCTGTAGCCTACCCCAGCCATACCCTGACGCCGCCACTGCCCTGAGTTAATATTGGTGTAACGCCTATTTAGATGAATATCTCTTCATGGCTAATGATGTTAAAAAGAAGCACACATGGTACTGTGCGGAAAAATAAATGATTGTTTACTGATACAGTTCTTTGTAATGACAGAAATTCAATGAAGTGACTACATTCGAAAACTCTCATGGAAAGTCTCAAGTACAAACAGGTAACTGGAGTACAGGAGGAATCGTGGAATCAAACCTCAGTCAAGGTGTTAAAAGTGTGATGTAAATTGCTATCCAAATAATGAGTATGTTTTGCGTATGTTTAAAAGTGACGTGAAGTGTTGAAACTCTTCTGTAGGCTACGATCCTGTAAGGGATGTGAGGGAGAGTCAGAGTAGGAGGAGGAGGTGACAGTGCCATTTGCCTTGAGGGCGCCCATAAACCTGGAGAGGGAGAGAGAGTGCACCATTCCTCACAGGTGACTGTACCATGTGACTTCAAGAGCATTCAAAACGCAGGCCAACCTGTCTTGTCAAGGTACAAGTAATCACAAGGCACCGGAGGAGTCAGAGGAGGAGGATACCTGGGCTGTCGGCGCAGAAGCAAATACCGACAGCCCCACAAAACAAGTCAGGGAGCACCAAGCCAGAGTGTCAAGTCGTCTGCAAACGCCTCGCTACGATACAAGCAGGAAGATCTGTCCTGGTTGTTGACACAATGAGCTGCAGCAGTGTTGAAGGATCGGAGTTCTCTGAAGAAGACCTGGAGCTTGGCGTGCTGGGTGAGGGGGAGGACGAAGGGAGTCCCAAGGAGTCTTTCGAAGACAGCGAGAGCTCTGCCAGCCCTAGTGACCTAGAGGAAGGTCAGACCAAGAAGCGTAATCGACCGGTTCGCTCAAAAGCTCGAAGGATGGCCGCCAACGTCCGTGAGCGGAAACGCATCATGGACTACAACCAGGCGTTCAATGCCCTGCGCGTCACTCTGAACCACGACCTCAGCGGCAAGCGGCTGTCAAAGATCGCCACCCTGCAGAGGGCCATCAACCGCATCTCCGCTCTCTCAGTGTTCCTGAGCTCCAACCCCCCCAGCAAGCCCTGCGCCCACCGGGAGTGCAACAGGTCGTCTGCAGGACCCGCTGCCATGGGAGCATCTCGGCATGAGCAGACCCGGGCCCCGGCTCCTCGTCTGGAGCCTCAGAGTTACGTCCCCTGGCACTCGTCCATCCCTCACCAGATGCCCCCTCAACAAGGGCCTCCCCTGCACCGGCTGCCCACGGAGCCTCATGTGTACATGGACAACACCGCGTCATCATGTCCCCCGTCACCACACTACCCTTGTTACCCCCCTGAGGGACAGCTTTATGCCTCATATGGACACTGCGGCAGCCCCCACGACCATCCGCCCAGCCCTATGCGATACCCACAGGTGGGTGAGGGTTTGGGGTACCAGACGGGCATGTGGGGCTCCTGCACTCAGAAATACATGGACACTTTTGTGGAGCCCTCTCCAGCTCTGGGGCTTCCCTGGCAGATGAGCTACATGCAGGAGCCGGAGCACATCCTCCCTCTGGGTTCTGAAATCCTATAACGGGCTTTATACAGAACCATGAGTCCTGAACACTGCTGATGACACAGCGGACTGACCAATGACCTCAGGGAGAAACGTTTTCTGTTCCTTCTCTTGCATCAACTCAGTATTACAATGAAAATATTATTTTAGAGCAGAGTGATCATAATGTGAGTAACAGATTTAGTGCAATGGCATGATGAGACTGCAGAATGTTGTATGCATTGTTTTGATCTAGCATTTCAAAATGTAAAAGAATGTGTCACTGTAAATAATTCTCCTACAGAATTATGTTCGAGATGTTTGATTGTTAATTGTTGTTTGGTCTTCTGCAGAGGCTAAAGAACTTAAAATGATGCTAAATGTGTGATAATAAAGTAAAAGTGAGAATGACCTTAAAGAGCCACAAGTAGACAAACAAACACACATGGGACAGCTTGCATTCTGTGTGTGCTACACTGTTATGTAACTTACACCATGTTTTCTTTCAAGTAAGATGTCTACGATTTGAACCCAACATTCTTGTATTTATACTCTGTATACGTTTAAAATGAATGGATGTTCGTAAAGTTGTAAAGAGTTTGTATATACTTTTCTAAGCTCCAAAATTAAATGTTTTAATTATATGACTCCTGTTCTGTCTCTTTTTATAGCAACACTGTTTGCTAGTAATTGGATTTACAACAACACATACAACATTTTCCTTACAAATATGTGTGTGTGTGTGTGTGTGTGTGTGTGTGTGTGTGTGTGTGTGTGTGTGTGTGTGTGTGTGTGTGTGTGTGTGTGTGTGTGTGTGTGTGTGTGTGTGTGTGTGTGTGTGTGTGTGTGTGTGTGTGTGTGTGTGTGTGTGTGTGTGTGTGTGTGTGTGTGTGTGTGTGTGTTGATTATAGCCTAAGGTCAGTAGCCTCTCTCTCAGAGTCTGAGATGACAGAGGTCCTTCACTCTGTTGAAAAATGTCCTTACAAGTCCACTCTTGCCATTTTACCGGGAGAAGAATAAAGGTGCTGTTTACACACAGCAAAATAAAAACATGGGCCGACAACACTGACTATGTGATATATCAGCTTAAAAAAATCGAATATAACTAATGCAGGGGTATGGAAAGTGCATGCACTGCCTCTTGCATTAAAGTACAGTACACGCCTAATTGGGTTAAAACCTTTGCTTTCTAACAACAGCAAGACACATCATCCCCAATAATAGCTCAGTGTTTTGTTAGCACATCGGTAAGAGTAAAACCACAGCTCCCGCCCTCCTGTTCCAGCTCATGTTAGTCAACAACAGCTGCCCTCCCCCCTGCTGAGCACTATGTCATGGAAACAGCTTTAATATTAGACTGTGGGTCTGAGCCCACCGACAGATTTATGTGGGCTCAGGAAGGAAGAGTGTGCCCCGTCATCAGCGCGGTGAAATCCCCAGTCGGGATCCACGGGCCCGCAGGTGGAACTGGGTGTGAGAGTGTTTTGAACCTCCTGGAGGTCTCCCAGCAGGGCCCCCGAGACGCTGTTGAAAACAGTCAGCCTGGGGAGGAGTACTGCAGGCTCAGGGGGAAATAAATGGTGTGGAACGACAACAATTAGCAGGCAGGAAGGAAAGGGAATCCGGACAAAGAGATGAATGGAGAGGAATGAAATAATAGGAAGGGGAGGGGAGGGGACTTCGTTCTTCACAGACGTGAATCACTAGAGAACCTTGACTCACCTGTGAGAGACGAGTGAGGCTGACAGCTCAGTGACGGCATGTCTCTGCCCCCCCCCCCTTTCTGGCACACACATCTCTCACTGCAGTGCCAGTTATCTTGTCTGGGTCCTCATGACACTCCAGAGTGAAAGTGGTCTGATAGTACCGCAATCCTCCTGAGAACACGTGTCTAGTCGCTGGTTTAATAAACAGAAACACATTCCCACTCCACAACAGAGAAGAAAAGATTGGATCTTTGTTTCCTTAGAAAAAGAAAAGCAACTGTATGGGAGGATTGATAAGAGTTTGAAATATTTTCAATGGGGACTTGCTAACAAAATAGACATACATTCTTTTTTATTAAATCTGATAATGTAGAAAAACACTTTTAAATAAAGTCAAAGTACAGAACTAGGCAAACCAACTCTTAATCTAGCTCTGTAGAACAACCATTCAATCACAAATGTTATCAATAATAAACAAGTATTAATTTTCATTAACAATTCAAACCAAAGTTAAGGAATATTTTCTTAACAGATTACAAAAAAATATATAAATCATTGATACTAAAGGTTTATAGTACATTATATTATGATCTGTACATGTACGTATGACATTTAGTGTGTGTTTTCTTTACCTTTTTGTTTTTTTTGTATTGTGTTATTATTTAAGCCCCTGTACATGACTTTGACTAAAACATTTATTTTGTATTTATACGTTTTGAAACTTATTTATCATAAAGATTGTGATTGAGGTCCAATTTGTTGAATAAAATACATTTGATCATTAAAATAAGAGGTTTTATCACCACCTAGATTTGTAGTGAATGTCACCTATATGTTTAATGTCAACGTTTGATGGTGAAACAGAGAGCAAACAATTAGTTGAACAAGCAATTCCTCAATTCATAGAAAATACCAAACACTTCTTGGTTTAGAAATCTTAAAATATAAGGATTTTATGCCTTTTATTTTCTTACATCATGGGTTTTGGACTGTTTACTTGACATCTTTACTTGGCAAAGCGCAAGATTCTTTAAAATGTTCTGATATTTTATAGACAAAATGGAAATAACTGACAAATAAATCAGAAATGAAAATAATACTTAGTTGGAGCCCTACAGTAAAATGTAACAAGACAGTGCATGTGTTGGTTGTTTACCAAAATCAGTTTGTGAGTCATGACATTATCCAACACCTTTGTCGATAAAGTGCTTTAACGTGTCAACTTTCCTGTTGCATTGTGACTCACCCGAGGGTTTACCTCACTTCTCCGCCATGTGAATCTGTCAGTGATGCATCTTTTATTCAGACTGTTTGGCCTCCTCGACAGACTCCGCCGCCAAGATGATGGAAAAGAAAACAAGCAAACATGAGAGCAATGATTCCAAGACACAGGGGTGTGTTTGCGTGATATATGGGGATGAGTCACGGCGTAGATGTTGATGCTGTATACTACATACACCCCCTTTACACACACACACACACACACACACACACACACACACACGCCCACCCACACACACACACACACACACACACACACACACACACACACACACACACACACACACACACACACACACACACACACACACACACACAAACACACACACACACAGCGTAGGTGTCAGAGGGCATGATGGTACAGACTCTGTTTCTGCCCATGACATTTATAAAGGCATATTAAACCTGAATTATGATTTCCTGTTTGAGACATGACAGGAGCTGTTCAGAACATCCTCTCGTTTAGCTCATTACCTGAAAGAAATCTAGCAAGGAGTCATGGCATCGGAGTGATTTAGGAAACGTCTCAGAGCAACTCTGATCAGGAAGGTTCAGAAACTTTTACTTTATTGTAGCGATGAGGTTGACACGGTGCTACAGTATGTATTGGGTATTGAGATGGAACAAGTACTCAGAATTTTTACCTAAGTACCAGTAGCAATACTAAAATGTAAAAATACCCTGTTACAAGACAAAAATCTGCATGGAAAAGTACAAAAATATTGGCATCAAAAGACAAATAATGTACCAAAAGTAAAAGTACTCGATGTGCGTAATAGGCCATTTCAAAATCATATACGTATATACATGACTGTATTATGATAATGTATGCATTATAGTGTTGATCACAGCTAATAATTGTGAAGCTAGTTTTATTTACTTGATAAACTGCTGTCAGATATCTCAACCTCTGGTAATATATTCATTAGTTTTTTCATTTATTTATTTTTTGTTCTATTTTCTATTCTTCTGAAAAAGTAACTTGTAAGTAAATCTGTCAAATGAATGTAGAAATGTAAAGAGTATAATATTGGCTTCCAAAGTGAAGGGGAGTAGAAAAGTACTATAAAATGCAAATGCTAAAGTAAAGTACAAGGACCTCAAAGTTATACTTGCACAGTACTCAAGTAAAAGTACTTAATTACATTCCACCATTGTTATAACATATTCATTTATAAAATGTAGTAGCGCATGATCAACTAGAGAATGCAATTCCTGAAGAAATTGCTAGTGGGAATGCTTTATGCTGAAAAGCTGACACTAAACTGCTATGCTGAAAAGTAATGTGTAAGAAGAAAGTGAATAATTTAGATTGAAATGATACATGAACACTGGGGGCTTGAATGTGTGATGAGTGAAGAAAAGAAAGTAAAAAGGCTTGGAAAGCAGCAGAATATTTGAAATGCTAACTTTTGAACTAACTTGATGGCGAATGATCTGTCGCCATGCCAACGGCATTTGATGACATCCCATAATACGCTTAGATGCGTTGATGGTTGTGTTACCAAACCTGTGAAGTTTTGGGCCATTTGGAGCATTTTCACTGAAGTTATGAGAAAACCGTGTTTCATGGCGGGCATTGTGTTGCCATGGCAACGGCATGTCCCGTAGATGTCTTCACGGCTGGACTGTTAGCACACATGTGAAGTTTGAGCACTTTTTGAACATTTTCATAGGAGTTATAGCGACATCATGTTTTATGGCGAGGGTTCCATGGAAACGGCATATGGTGAGATCTCAGATTTGGCGTAGAGCTGTTGAGGCATGGACCGGTGATATACAAGTGAAGATTGGGGGACGATCAGACCGTGTCCATTGGACTTACAGTACAGCGACATCGTGCTTCATGGCGAGTGGTCTGTCGCCATGGCAACGGCATTTGAAGAAATCTCAAAACTGTCCCGTAGATGTCTTCACGGCTGGACTGTTAGCACACATGTGAAGTTTGAGCACTTTTTAACATTTTCATAGGAGTTATAGCGACATCGTCTTTTATGGCGAGGGATGCGTTTCCATGGAAACGGCATATGGTGAGATTTCAGATTTGGCGTA